TAGTCACAAACCGAGATGAGTACTAAGCTCTAGAGACCAAGAGATTTTAGATGTTTGATTACCTTTGATAAGACTCACTTGCTAGAGAAAATTATTAGACTTGTAAGATACATACTATTACCTCTTAAGACACCATAAAACATCTTTACCCATATCCACTACTCTTTCTTTCTAGTTACTTTACCATGTTATTTTTTTACATTAAGAACATAATAATTTCTCAACAATTCTTTTCAATATCATATTTGCATGCATCATTTTATACTCATTCATTCTTATTTTAAGATACTTAAATTTTTACATCTAATTAAAGGTAACTGTTTTTTTTAGAACGGATGTTGTAAGGTGTTAATATCTTCCTTACACATAATCGACTCTCAAACCCAATCTTTATTTCGTAGACTCCTTTTTTTCTTTTTTGAAGGTTTTTTCCGATATTTTTCCTTAAAATAAATATTGGTGGCGAATCCATTGTTTTTTCTTTCATTTAGAAACTTAATTTTGTCATTCAATCGCAATTCTGATTGCGACAAAGAGCTTCATTTGTTTCCCTTACTCTAGCTCTTGTCATAGGTCATGTTCACATCATTCTCTCCCTCTTGAAAAGGATTTGTCCTCAAATCGGATTTTTCATCTACATTAAAAAGAAATAAGTCTGACAAATTGAATGTAGAACAAACATTATACTCACTTTTTATGGTTAAATAGTTCTCCCTCACTTCAAGTGTTTTACTAACGCTTTTTTTTTCTCTTTTCTTAAAGAAATGTTTCTCTCATTTTCTTTTTATCCTCACACACTTCTTGTGGACTTAAAGGTTTGAGCACAATCTTTTTGTCTTAGTGCATGAAAGAGATCTTGTTGGTGAACCCGTCATGATTGAATCTTTTATCAAATTGTCATGGTCTCCCCAAAAGTAAGTGATTGACCTTCATATGAACAACATCACAAAGTACCTTATCATTATATTTTCCAATGGAAATGTTCACTTCAACTTGCTTCCTCACTTGCACCTCTCCATCCTTACTAAGTCATTGAAGTTTATAAGACCTAGGATATGATTTAGAAGGTAAATTTAGCTTTGACACTAATCTAACACTAGTCACATTGTTACAACTACCTTCATCTATGATCAACATGCATACCTTGTCATTGATTAAACATCTATTGTAGAAAATGTTTTTTTTTTCTTTCTTCCATAGGCTTCAATTGCCCATCAAGTAATCGTCTATTCATTAATAAATCTCCCTATGTCCTCATTCTCTTCTCCCTTTTCAACCTCAGATTCACTTATATATTCTCCCTCTCTAAGAACCATAAACCTTTTGTTAGTGCACTCATAAGCATAGTGTCTTATACCTTGATATTTGAAATGCTTCACATCTCTCCTTCTTTTAGAGGGTTGTTCTTCAGACTTTGAAGGAGTCTTTGTAGGAATAGGTGTGGAACTACTACAAGTAACAGTCACATCTTTCTTGTCTTTGTCCTTCCAACTTGAAGATCCAAAGTTGGTAGAATTTTTCTCAGCCACTTCTTTTCTTTTGAGTTGTTACTCCACTCAAATTATTTTATGAAGTAAATCCTCCATATCAACAAACTCCTATAACTCAACAATATCACGTATATCAATATTCAAACCACCAATAAATCGGGTCATAGTTACCTCTTCATCTTCTTCCATTTTTGCTTGAATCATGAGCATGTCCATTTCCTTGAAATACAACTCAACCTCATTGCTGCCTTGAGTAAGTTTTTAGAGTTTAAATTTCAAGTCTCTTGAATAACTAGTTGGCACATACCGCTTCCTCATGATCCTTTTCATCTCAGTCCATGTATCAACCATTGGCTCTTCATTTCTACCTCTCTCCTTTTGTAGCTTGTTCCACCAAACAAGAGCATAGTCAGAAAATTCTGTAGTTGCAAACCTCACTTTTTGGATCTCCTCATAATTGTTGCATAAGAAAACATGCTCTATTTTCATCTCCCACCGTAAGTATGCCTCCGGATCATTTTTTTCCTTTGAACGGAGGAATGTTAAGCTTGACTCCTTCAAGCCTACTTGGTCTTGCTACTTCATCATTCATTCTCCTATTTCTCCTTTCTTCTTCATCTTCGCGATCTCTAATCTTCAACCGGTTCAATCTTTCATGAAACTCATTGTTATGTCATATCATTAATCCTTCCAATATATTGTATCAATGCTCTCATTTGAAATTGACTAATTCCTGCTTCTTGATTATAATTTTTCTCTTCTGTCATCAATTTGATATTCAAATCCTTAAACCGGGACTCTGAATACCAACTGATATGAATCTTAATAGCACAAGAGATGATTTAGGATCTTTAAGGTTAGAACCTTGTAAGAAATTTAGGAATTTAGTGATAAGGTGAAAGGAAGTAATCACTTTTCCCAAGGAAGACAACTCACAAAGGATGTGAAAGTCCTTTGATACAGCCCAAAATTTTTTGAATTACTCAAGAATTTAGGAGAATCACTCTCACTAAGATAAAAGAGATAAACTCTAATATTTCTGAATAAAATTTCACTTATTATTTTTTATAAATATGGTTCAGCCTATATAGAAGTTTTGTCATCAGAATTACAAAGATTCAATAAAGAAAAATAAATGCTAATAATGATTCATTAACCTACGAATTGAAAACTACTTAGTGGAGACAAATAAAGGTTAATAATGATCCATTAACCTAGGAATTGAAAATTACTTAATGACTGATTGTAACTGAAATTGTGGCAACCAAAAGTCAATCAGTTATACACCATTTTGGTCTCTCAAAGACTGATCACTAAATTTTCAATTGGACCCTTATTATAATTTGCAATAAAATCAAACTAAAACTCATTAATTGATTAATCTAAAACACAATTTAGTCAACCAACAATACTTGTTGAAGAGTTTCCTTTGTTTCCCTTACTCTAGCCTTTGTCATAGGTCATGTTCACATCATTATCTCCCTCTTGAAAAGGATTTGTCCTCAAATCGAATTTGTCATCTACATTAAAAATAGATAAGTCTGACAAATTGAATATAGAACAAACATTATACTCACTTTTTATGGCTAAATAGCTCTCCCTCACTTCAAGTGTTTCACTAACGTTTTTTTTTTTCTCTTTTCTTGAAGAAATTTTTCTCTCATTTTCTTTTTATCCTCACACACTTCTTGTGGACTCAAAGGTTTGAGCACAATCTTTTTATCTTGGTGCATGAAAGAGATATTGTTGGTGAACCCGTCATGATTGACTCTTTTATCAAATTGTCATAGTCTCCCTAAAAGTAAGTGACTGACCTTCACAGGAACAACATCACAAAATACCTTATCATTGTATTTTCTAATGGAAATTTTCACTTCAACTTGCTTCCTCACTTGCACCTCTCCATCCTTACTAAGTCATTAAAGTTTATAAGACCTAGGATGTGGTTTAATAGGTAAATTTAGTTTTGACACTAATCTAGCACTAGCCACATTGGTGCAACTACCTTCATTTATGATCATCATGCACACCTTATCATTGATTAAACATATAGTGTAGAAAATGTTTTTTCTTTGGCTTTCTTCCATAGGCTTCAATTGCCCATCAAGTAATCATCTATTCATTAACAAATCTCCCTTTGGAGTCCCCTCCTCCTCTATGTCCTCACTCTCATCTCCCTTTTCAACCTCAGATTCACTTATATATTCTCCCTCTCTAAGAACCATAAACTTTTTGTTAGTGCAGTCATAAGCTAGTGTCCTAGACCTTGACATTTGAAACACTTCACATCTCTAAAATTGTTCTTCATACTTTGAAGGAGTCTTTCTAGGAATAGGTGTCAAACTACTAGAAGTAACAACCTCATTTTTCTCGCATTTGTCCTTCCAACTTGAAGATTCAAAATTGGTAGAACTCTTCTCAGTCACTTTTTTTCTTTTGAGTTGTTGCTCCACTCGAATTGCTTTATGAAGTAAATCATTTATCCATATCAATAAACTCCTGCAACTCAACAACAATATCACGTATATCAATATTCAAACCATCACTAAATCAGATAATTAGAGGAATCTTATATAATTTAATAAATTATTATAATTATTTTATCAAATAATTTAAAAAATAAATCAAATCAAATAAATAAAAAGAGGATAAATTATTTAACATTTATTTCAAAATAAATAAATAAAGTAAATAAGAAGAGAATAAATTATTTAAAAATTTTAAGAAATTTTTTATTAAAATAAAACTAATAATAAATTGTTTAAAAATAAATCTATATTTTACAATTTAATAAACTGACAACCAGTTATTAACCTGTATTTATGAAACGTAACTTCTGTTGACCAAACGTTATTTTAACTGTAAAAATTTAATTTAATTTTTTATTCAATTTCTATTGCCATTTTACAATATAAATAAAAAGTAAATATATTTTAAATTATATTGAACCATTTTTTGTGAATTGAAAAAAAAAGTAAAAAAAGAGAAACTTTTAGAAGTTACGTAAATTTGAAGGAACCATTAAAGCTCAAATTCGTGGCAACAATTTTCTGTCAAAAATGAAATTTTATTCATTTTGTGACGTATTTTCTGTCACTAAAATTAATTTTTTTAGAATATAATTAATTGTCTCCTGTAAAAAATACATACGAATCTACAAATAAAACAAATGAGAGAAAAAAAAATGCTAGTAGACTTTCACATTCAAATAAATAATAAACACATTCACCGATGTAAAGTAAATAAAATATTTAATACAACGTATTGAATGCGCGTTTATTAATTTATTAATACTAAAATTTAAGACTCTGTAAGAGGGTCCACGGATAGTAAAACGGAATAAAGTCAAAAGTGTGCGTCTCTATATAGATTAATGAACGATCTAAAATAAGACAGAATAACATTTTTCTGAAAATAATTAAACGAACAAAAAGAACTTAATTATAAATTTATATATATAAACTCCAGAAGCATTGAGTTCAGGTAGAATCATGCACAGACCTTAATTTAATGTTTTGCGAGGTTTCTTCTGGTTCTTCTTTTTCTTCTGACTCGTGGTTAATGCATTCTTCTTCAACCTTCTTTACTACTTGCCTTGAATGTTGTGTTTGAGTCTGAGTTCATCTCTTTCTTTCATGCTCTTCCCCACCGCTCCATCGCGTGGCACCACTCTTCACGAGTCTTCTTCTTCCTTCGGATCCTCCAAAACTGTGTGGTACTATCGCTGCCTGGGACTCGACCCTTGAAAAGCTGCGATCTCTGGGGCAATTTTTCAACTGGGTGGGTGCCGAATTGGATGGGAGAAGGGCGTGGTACGATGAAGAGTGGTTTTGAAAAGATGATGTCGCAGAAGAACAAGCATAAAGGAAGGTACGAGGATGAGAAAAGAAGGAGGAGTACTAGGTTTCTGGTGACGATTAACATAATGGGGAGTGCGGGGCCAATAAGGTTCGTGGTGAATGAGAAAGAGAATGTTTCTGGGGTGATTGATACTGCTCTCAAATCCTATGCTCGTGAAGGGAGGCTTCCTGTTCTGGGATTTGATGCCTCCAATTTCCTTCTTTACTGTGCAAATGCTGGCTTTGACGGTATGCTTCTTTGTCTTCTCTACCCTGTTTGGAATTCCACAAAACTTAAAGCTGTTCTTCCTGTTGTTTTTTTTAATGAGTTTTAATTACTTATTTGGATGCTATTCACATCAACTTTCTTTTTAGTTCTTATGTAGATTATATGATTTTAATTCTTTTTAGTTACAATGACAAGGAGTAAAACAATTAAATATTTAATGGGGTATATTTAGGCATAAGAATTAGAATTTTTTTTATTATTATAAGAATCAAATTAACAATTAAACCTTTAATTCTCTGTTACATATATCATCATAACTCTAATTCTTATTCAAGGAAAAAATAACATGAAAGACATTTCAAAAATTGTATCGCTATTTGTTTTTTTTAAAATGATAAATTTTAAATACAATTTTGTAAGTTTTTTGGTGTAATTCTAGTAATTGAGAAATAATATTGAAAACAACTATTGAGTTTTGTCGTTTTGAAAATTCCCTTCTCGTTCGGTGCATCAAAAAATTGAAGGAGTATTTGACATTTTGCTAATATGCATGTTGCATCCCAAAGTCCATTAATTTCGAATGATGTATGTGTATGTCATTTACTTGGGTTTTATAATCGTTTGCCTCCTCAACTTGTTAGTTTGTGTTTTTACTCAGCCGAATGTTGCATAATTCAATAATAAAATCAGTATAAGCGTTTTTTATATAATCATTTAATTAATTGTCATATTCGTTTATTGATAATGATCGTCTTTTGTAAAAATTACATTTATGTTTCACTCATGCACTGCATTGATAGACCAGTACAACATATATAAAGTTTGGTTCAGTGTGATTATTATGATGATTTATAAGCTAAAGGTTTGTTCTTGTTTGGTGTAACGTGTTTGATACATAGCTCTAAGTCCATTGGAACCGATAGGATCTGTTGGGGTGAGGAATTTTGTGCTGTGCAAAAAGCAGACGTACTCATCGAAAACAGCACCACAATCTGAACTTGTTTCTCAGAAGAGCAGTGGTGGATGGAAGGCATGGTTGAATAAATCATTGGGTTTAAAGATCCTAAGCCATTGAGATAATAACGTTTGCATGTGAAAATGTATCAAGTTTCGTTTGTATTCTGCATTGTGCTTTAGTTACTGTGTTTGCAGTTCATAATGTTCATGTTTTGTTATCCAATCTATCAGAGACAACTTAACATTGAATAATGTATGTTATGCTTCTCTTCTTCATTGTTAAAACAAAAGACCTTTAGAAATTTATTATGCCATTAGTATTTACTTCACATTAATCATTGACTTTGAATTTCAACGTTTTACTGGTTATTGATTTCTAAAGAAGCATTGATGGTGGAACGGATTCTAGTAAGTTGAAGGCTGGTCGTTTAAAGAATTATCTATATTGTTTTTTTTTTCTTTTTTGCTGGGTTATGAGAAAGTAGTAAGAGAAAAATAAAATTTTAATTTAAAGTCTACATTAATTATAGTTAATTACCATATAGGACAAAAATGGAGTTAACAGGTTGAAGTGCTCTTGAGGTTAAGGACCAAGGTTGTGTTTAAGGTTTAAGCAAATGTGATTTGATTTCTTTACAAATTTCACATGTGACTAATTAGCGTCAGAAAATTGCGCATAAAGTTTGAAGATTAAGATGAAAATTAGACTTTTTATCATTTTGCTGTTTAAAAGTATTTGAGAGTCACGATAAAAACTCATTTTTTTTAATGCATAATTACCTATTAATTTGTTTTTATTATAAAAAAAAATTGTTCGTAAGATATAAATTAGATTAAGTATGATTTTAGTCTTTATATTTTTATGTAAAATTGGAAATAGTTCATCCGTTAAAGTTCATATAAAAATGATCCATATATTTTTAAAATGATTAGAATAAGTTCTTATTTTAAACGGCATTAAATATATGATGACTTGTCTAACTATTTGACACGTGTAATTATTTTAAAAAAATAATTTTTTTTAAATAGAAATTATTCAACAGGTATTATTATTTTTAGAAAAACAAAATTAAAAAGTAGAAGCTCTTTTTTTTCTCCTCACACACCAAAGCTCTTCAGTTCTCGTCACAACCACTTTTCATTTTCTTTTCTTTTTTTGTCACAGCTATTTTTTGTTCTTTCTTCTTTTTTTCGCCACACACCAAAGGTGTTTTCTTTCTTCCCCTTTATATGTAAAGGTTGTATGAAGTCAAAGAGACTTTAACGTTTGAGGGTTCCATCGGTTCGTTGTGGTTCGACTAGCGGTGCGACGGTGATGCACAACGACAGAGTGTGCGACTGTAGTATATCATAGCTAGGGTTTTCATTTCAGAAAATTAAGGTAGAGAAGTTTAAATGGCTTATAAATGACAAAGAAGTTTAAATTTCTTTTTAAACGACTTTTAAATGTTATAAATGCGGATTCAAATGACTTTTAAAAAGCTGAACACCTTTTAATTTTATTTAATTTTATTTTTTAAAATAATTACATGTGTCAAATAATGAATGAGTCATACCATTTTTGTTAGACAAGTCGAGCATATACTTAACGCCGTTTAAAATAAGGACCTATTTTAATTATTTCAAAAGTATAAAAATCATTTTTACGTGAATTATGACAGATTGACTATTTTCAATTTCACATAAGGACTAAAAACATTCTTAACCCATATAAATTTGTATTACTTGAGTTTATTAGGCGTTCAAGGAACCATTCGTTGAATTTTACAAAGATCGAGTTCTTCCTTCTTAGTGGCATAGATCACACTTCTATGCTTAGTGGGTTCAACAATACTTCTTGCACCTCAATAGTTTCTTCATCTATTTTTTGGATTGACTAATTACATTCAAATTATTGATTTTAAGATTAAAAGAAAGTTAAAAAAAAAAAAAAAAAAACACTTTTCGAATCGGTACAATTATAATTTATTGGGTGCAGGAAGCATCTATCTGCTTCTCGGCTGAATTTTTTTTGTCTACCCCTACAATTAAATAATTTGGTTCTATACGCCTTAATTCGGCCCATTCTAAGATGGGCTGGTGTGACATGGGCCTCTTAGTCTTACAAGTTCTTGGATATCTTTCACTCATTTTGAAATGGACTTTGTAATTTTTATATTTTAAAAGATGTATGCCAAAATAAAAGGAAGGTTTCCATTAAAAAGAGATAAGTCTGACAAATTGAATATAGAACAAACATTATACTCACTTTTTATGGCTAAATAGCTCTCCCTCACTTCAAATGTTTTACTAACGTTTTTTTTTCTCTTTTCTTGAAGAAATTTTTCTCTCATTTTCTTTTTATCCTCACACACTTCTTGTGGACTCAAAGGTTTGAGCACAATCTTTTTATCTTGGTGCATGAAAGAGATCTTGTTGGTGAACCCATCATGATTGACTCTTTTATCAAATTGTCATAGTCTCCCTAAAAGTAAGTGACTGACCTTCACAGGAACAACATCACAAAATACCTTATCATTGTATTTTCTAATGGAAATTTTCACTTCAACTTGCTTCCTCACTTGCACCTCTCCATCCTTACTAAGTCATTAAAGATTATAAGACCTAGGATGTGGTTTAATAGGTAAATTTAGTTTTGACACTAATCTAGCACTAGCCACATTGGTGCAACTACCTTCATTTATGATCATCATTCATTTATGATCATCATGCACACCTTATCATTGATTAAACATATAGTGTAGAAAATGTTTTTTCTTTGGCTTTCTTCCATAGGCTTCAATTGCCCATCAAGTAATCATCTATTCATTAATAAATCTCCCTTTGGAGTCCCCTCCTCCTCTATGTCCTCACTCTCATCTCCCTTTTCAACCTCAGATTCACTTATATATTCTCCCTCTCTAAGAACCATAAACTTTTTGTTAGTGCAGTCATAAGCTAGTGTCCTAGACCTTGACATTTGAAACACTTCACATCTCTAAAATTGTTCTTCATACCTTGAAGGAGTCTTTCTAGGAATAGGTGTCAAACTACTAGAAGTAACAACCTCATTTTTCTCGCATTTGTCCTTCTAACTTGAAGATTCAAAATTGGTAGAACTCTTCTCAGTCACTTTTTTTCTTTTGAGTTATTGTTCCACTCGAATTGCTTTATGAAGTAAATCCTTTATCCATATCAATAAACTCCTGCAACTCAACAACAATATCACGTATATCAATATTCAAACCATCAATAAATCGGATAATTAGAGGAATCTTATATAATTGAATAAATTATTATAATTATTTTATCAAATAATTTAAAAAATAAATCAAATCAAATAAATAAAAAGAGGATAAATTATTTAACATTTATTTCAAAATAAATAAATAAAGTAAATAAGAAGAGAATAAATTATTTAAAAATGTTAAGAAATTTTTTATTAAAATAAAACTAATAATAAATTGTTTAAAAATACTGACAACCAGTTATTAACCTGTATTTATGAAACGTAAGTAGACTTTCACATTCAAATAAATAATAAACACATTCACCGATGTAAAGTAAATAAAATATTTAATACAACGTATTGAATGCGCGTTTATTAATTTATTAATACTAAAATTTAAGACTCTGTAAGAGGGTCCACGGATAGTAAAACGGAATAAAGTCAAAAGTGTGCGTCTCTATATAGATTAATGAACGATCTAAAATAAGACAGAATAACATTTTTCTGAAAATAATTAAACGAACAAAAAGAACTTAATTATAAATTTATATATATAAACTCCAGAAGCATTGAGTTCAGGTAGAATCATGCACAGACCTTAATTTAATGTTTTGCGAGGTTTCTTCTGGTTCTTCTTTTTCTTCTGACTCGTGGTTAATGCATTCTTCTTCAACCTTCTTTACTACTTGCCTTGAATGTTGTGTTTGAGTCTGAGTTCTTTTGAGAAAGTAGTAAGAGAAAAATAAAATTTTAATTTAAAGTCTACATTAATTATAGTTAATTACCATATAGGACAAAAATGGAGTTAACAGGTTGAAGTGCTTTTGAGGTTAAGGACCAAGGTTGTGTTTAAGGTTGAAGCAAATGTGATTTGATTTCTTTACAAATTTCACATGTGACTAATTAGCGTCAGAAAATTGCGCATAAAGTTTGAAGATTGA